CCCGCGCCGGTCGTCTCCGCCCGCCAGCCACGCTGTGAACCTGCTCGAGGCGGCAGCCCGGGTCCTGGGCTGGAGTGAATCAGCAGCAGAGACAGCCTGAGTCACGCTGGAGAAAAACCCGGCCCCTGAGCCTGCTGAGAGCATCCCTGAGGGGTGACCCCAAGGGCAGACCTGTGGGGGTCCAGCACAGAGAGCATCAGCCCTCCAAAAGTTAGGCGTGAAGTTTAAGCCAGGCTTTAACTGATGCAGAAACCTCTGGAAGACGGTTCTTCCCCCCAGCCCCGGTAAGAGACCTGCTCGGGGACGGGCTGAGACGCTCCACACACCTCACACCAGACCACTCTGGACCCCGCGCCGTGACGCTGCTCTGCTGGTGGCAGCTCTGAAGGCAGCCCTCGCCCAGCAGCTGGGCGCAGTCCCAGCAGCAAACCCAGCAAAAAAATGGGATCTCGAAGCAAGGCCAGCTTAACCAGACAAGTGTGTCTACACAGGGGTGGCACAGCCAAAATAATCCGCTTTTCAGCGGAGCGCTGAGTAACGCTCCTGAGTTTTGCCATATGGGGAATCTCAGGAAATCGCGAAGAGTAAAAACTTAGACTCGAAGCAAAGTCAGAAGAAAATAATTACCAAGGAGGAGAGCGGGGCGCTGAGCGCTCCAGCACCGAAGCAGCCCCGCTGTGTGAGCCGTGTAGGTGAGATCTGATTTAGCCCCAGGAGCAAAAGCAACCTCTAAAAATAGGAGAGTCGGGTTCACAGCCGGTGCCAACCATCGTGTCCCCCCCCCCAAAGTCAATAGAGCTGCTCCAGTTTTGTGACAGCTGAAGATCTGACCTGAGACATCTTATCTCAGCTTCGGCCTCTGCTCACAGCTCCAGTTTTTTTCCAAAACTGCCTTAAAAATAAAACAAAATCTAGGTATACGCCCAGTGGCCACCAATATGGCTCTAACAGCCTGACCAAAGAAGTCTTCCAGAACCTGCCGCTGATCTCCACGATCTCACCATGCGCTCAGCAGCTTGGGATGGTCCCAAAAAAAGCGTTCCCAAAACACCATGACCCTACAGGGGGTCACAAGCCTGGAAGTCCCACTGGAAGTGGGGTCAGGACCCCACAGAAGTCGGGCTGCAAAGAGATAAATAATGAAGAGCTACAGGTGAGCAGAGTTTGGAAGTAGAGGTCAAATCCCAACCAGTTTCCCATGGGGAGTAACAAGAGTTTCACTCTCCAGCAGGGACAGCAGCTACACTAGGGAGAAAATTTTCACTGAGACTGGACTAGGCGCAGGAGCCAAGATCCCGTGGGCATCGATGCCATAAGGCAAAGCAGCTAAAAACCTTGGGGAAGGAATTTCTAACCGCATGCTCACGCTGTAGCCAACTCAGGAGGTGCTGGAAGGAAGGAAAGCTGGGAATAGCCAGGAGCCAACAGAGTCAGGGCCCGAGGGGCTGCTCCACGGGCGAGGAGGAGCAAGGACCGGAGAAATTCAGCCCCCGAGACTCTTCGTCAGTGCTGTCGCACGAGCGAGGAGAGGTTTTACGCACACAACCCGGGACCGCTCTCCTTCCCGCTGCTAAGGTTTGGCAAGACGCCCCGGAGCAGCCCCTGGGCAGACGCTGCAGCCGGCAGCACCCCTTTGGCTCTGAAAAGGAAGGGGGAGACTCCAAAACCGGGCGGGGTATGAAAGAAATTTCACTTCAGCCACCCCAAAACGCCACGGCAGCACCATGAATGTTGCACCTGCAGAGATGCTCATGAGTCCCAGAGCATCCTAGCACTGGACTGTGACTCCGAACCAGTAATGGTTCCCTGCATTAACTGGATGTGCTGGGCAGGTTGCTCTCGCTTAGATTGGTTGCACTGCCCCGTGCCTCAGTTTCCCCCTCTGCCAAAGCAGCTGTCCCAAGCTGCTGCAGAACCACAGTGTTATTTTAGAGGGGAAAACAGGACCCAGAAGAGCCTGTGAGCATTACCGCTGGAAGGTGACGGTCCCCGCGGCGCTGCTAAGCCGAACCTTTATCTCAGAGCAGTAAGAAGGAAGCGGGGAGCTCCCAGTGCAGACTGGTCCCACTCCAGCCCCAGTCAGGGCTCAGATCGTGGCCACCTCTGCTCCCTCCGACACACTCCTCCTGCTTCTGTTCAGCGAACGCCTTTCTGCGAGCAGCTCAGCACACGGGAAAAACAGAACCAAACGCGAACGTGAAAAACCTGAGCTGAATTACCCTGCTCGGGTTTATTTTTCAGTCTGGAGCTCTGCACCACTCGGAGCATCTCTCCGAGGCAACGAGCCCTCAGAGATGGGCAAAGGACCGGGCATCCCTTTTAAAAGGAGGGAAGCTCTTGCTGCCCAAGCACCCTCTGCACGTGTCGCTCTGACGTTAGCTGCAAAAACACCGCCTTGCCAAACTGACCCCCTGCCCCGCGCGCTGCCGGTGGGTGTCAAATGCCTGCAGGATTTCTTACCACTGATGCCTTTTTTACACCTCTAAATTCATCCAGAATTCATTTAGAGCTCAAATGCCTGTATCTGTGTGTGTGTGCGGCAGATCTGTAAGCTGGGCGTGATGGGGGGACACGCGCGGGGACAAGACAGAATGGGTATGGACCGGTGTGGGGGGTGTCTGGGGGTCGGTGGGCAGCGCTTTGGGGGTGATCGAAGAGTAGCTGGGAGAGGAGACATGCGCAGAACAGTGCCCGAGATGGGCCAGGAGCCCAAAGATGCGCCCGGTTATGGGGGGCACGTCCCGGGCACAGCCGTATCTGTGGGTAGGGATCATCTGCGCGTGCAAGGGGGGTCGTGGGGGGATGTCAGCACACATATGTGCTCACATGTGTGTGTACATGGCGTATGACAGGGCTGCGGGGACGAGGGTGCGTGCGGGGAGGGCTGCTGGCGCGGACACACGGGGCGGCCTGTGGGGCTGCTGCTGCTGCAGAAGAGGAGCACGAGCTCCTTGGGGACAGCGACGGGGATCCTGCTTGCTTCAGGACCTGATTTGGGTGCCAGCGGGCACCAGCCCTGTCCCCCCACGCCACGCCTGGGCCACTAAACGTGGGTTTTGGCGTGGGCACGCACACAACCCACTGAGAGGAACCCAAGCAATCCTGCCTGTCCTAGAGCATCCTGAAACTCTGCCAGGACTCAGCCCGGCCAAGGACTCTCCCTGACAGTCCCTCATCTCCGTGTGCCCAGGAGGTGCCCAGGCAGCACCCAAAAGAGTGAAGGGAGCAGGGAGCTGAGCTCACCCCCAGTTTCAGCCCAGCATCCCCAGATGCGATGCATTGGGAGGGGATGGGGAGATGATGGAAGAGACTTCCCGTAGGATGGGAGATGGCCAACGTGTCCCATGGTAGGACGGAGATGGCTATGGCGGGGCCCGCGTAACCCTCTAAGAGAGTCCATCGCACCCACGGGGATGGGGACATGACGACACAACCCCAGCATGGCCCCATCCCACCTCCCCGCC